GGGGCTGATAAAAGGAGCTGTGAATAATTGATATCAGGACTGACTGTGGGGGTTGGAAATGTAAAGGTAGACATTTTGTAGCAAAAGGAGGGGAATGGTTAACTTTGCAGTCTAGGAGCCGAGGTCCCTGGGACCATCAAGGGAGAAGAGCAGAGTGCGGGACCCTACCCAGAGAAACAGTGATACTGGGGATGGAGGCAGAGACGACGTGAAGAGATGGAGTGGCTGGGAACTCTAGACCCAGAGAGGGAGTGGGGCTGTATGCTGACAACTGGGTGGGCAGGCCTGCAACCCTTTGGTTGGTTGATGATGCATGGAGGGGATTGTAACCATGGCAATGAAAGGATAGGATGACTGTAAAGCTAATGTTCTCCCATTTAAACTATCGAATGATGCAGAAAAAAAAAAAAATTTATTTAAAGAATCATAAAAAAGACAGTAAGAAATTAAAAAAAAAAAAAAACAAACATCTAAAAAAAAAAGTGACTATCACATCTACATAGTAACAAGAATATACGTTGTTGTTGTTAAATGCCGTCAATTCAGTTCTGACTCATAGCAACCCTATATAAGGTTTCCGAGGAGCAGCTGGTGGGTTTGAACTGCCGACCTTATGGTTCACAGTACAGTGCTTATCAGAAAAATCATAATTAACATAACTTCTTATTGCTTGGGGAGATTCCTGGTGTGGTGCTGTTAACAAGGAGCTCTGGTAGTATGGTGGTTATGAATAGGGCTGCTAACCTTAAGGTCAGCAGTTTGAAACTATCAGCTGTTCCACGGAAGAAAGATGAGGTTTTCTGCTCCTGTAAAGATTTACAGCCACGGAAACTCTGTACAGGGTTGTTATGAGTCATAACCAACTCCACAGCACATAATCACCAACCCTGTTTACACATTTATATGTAATCTGATCTGTTACACATAATATTCTTCATCAAGTTCAATTTTTTTCTTGGGTTTCTTTTCATTTTCTTTGTTTCTGTTGTGTTAATGTTTACTAAATCTTTCTGGTTTTCCTCTTTTAAAATTTTTTTTATTTTGATGTAAAGGTGTTGCATTTTCTTTGAAGTTACTTTTGTAATTTTTTTTCCCCTATTTAAAACATTCTGTTTTATCTTGAAATCTTCCTGAATTCCTAGCCATTTGTAAGTTCTATATCTACACTATTCCCAATTTTTGCTTTGTAGTTGACTTCATTATAAATTAATACCTCTGTTTCCCTATTTCCAGTCTTGGAAATTTGTTTTGGGAGTCCTGGTGTG